GTGGTGTCAATCTGCCTTAAAGGTTCAGTTTGCTTCAGGCCTCATCTGAAAAGCAGAAAGTGTTTAAGAAAATGTCCAAAGATATGTTGTCATTCAAGCAACAAAGACCTAAAGTACAGTGGCTATGGTAGAGCATGGAGGAGGAAGTAAAGTAATGATGTTAAAGAGCCACAGTCCACAGCTGCGGAAGTTGGGGTGATGAATGGGTCAACTCAGCTATGACTCATAAGACCAATATTCCTTTTCCACCCAGCAGTCAGGGTTGGTTTCTCTTAACCATCACTGTGGTCATCCTCTAACCTTAAAAGCAAAATGGTTGTTATTGTGACCACAATGACCAAAGGTTCCCTGGTCTGATGTTTCCTGAGCACAGCACTGACATCACCACCTTTTTACGTTGATATGAAGAACCTCTTGAGAAGCATTTAAACACCCAGCAGATCCCACTACAGTTCAGTTAAACTCGGTTTTGTGTAGTGCCGCACAACAAAACTCATTTCAAGTCACTTTACATTGTAAGATCTAAGCATTATCAGGCAACGTTTCTGTCCGCATGATAAATATAAAAGTAGTGACTCCTTTCATCTCAACAGCTGCTGAGGGACATATCTGATTTTTAGAGCAGCACTATTAAAACAGTGACAGGGAACTAAGACAGCAAAGTTGTGCTTCAGAAAACAGTTTAGTATTAAATGTCATTTTAAGGAGACGGGTTTACAAAAGGAGGGATGTGAGATGAACTATACAACAGGGTTAGCAGCGACCCTACATGCACACACAGACCCGCTAGTACCCAAAGGCAACGTTCCGGTCAGAGTTTCAGCCTCTGGAAAAACTGTCCCCAATTCAAACATCAGACAGGTCTTTGGACATGTTCAGCCTTGCAACAAGCACTTTCCTACGAGCACACCGAGACCCTAAGTGTCAGCCAGGAATTCACAGTGTCATTCACTACAGACCAAACAAAACTGAGCTCATTTTTCAGACGGTAATGATTTCATGGTGTAATTCCCACATTCTGATAATGAAAGGCACCTTTTCACTTTAACAAAATATCAGCAGTTTTAACTGAGCAGTATGGTGGCACTGTTAATGAAGACGTTCAAAACCCGCTGACATGTTCATCTGTCACGTCTGTCCGCCCACTACTGACTCTGTGTGCAAGCCGACCACATTTACATTTACTACACTTTTACGAACACCAAATTTTACATCGTGCCCAGTTGCAGAGCAGGCCCATTGTAATCCACTACTGTAAGTCTTGCTCACCCAGATTGACTTACTACTCCAACTACTTTATACATCAACTCCACTGCAATTCACAGAAAAATATTGGACATTTTACTCTACTAGAGGTATTTGACAGCTTTAGTTACGTTTCAGATTTACATTAAACATAAGAGGTGCTTATGTAATACAATACATTTCCTAAGACTCCACTAAACTATTCAAAACTCTGCCTTGAGCAGCTACAACAGTAAAATGCTGCTTGCAGCCTGATACATCTGTGTTAATGAGATTTATTGTACTATACCAGCTATAATGGCCAACTTTTACTTTTAATACTTTAAGTGAATTTTGCTGCCACTTAGTAGTAGAACTTTATATGCAAGACTTTTACTTGTAATGGAATATTTTTACATTACCATACTGGTACTTTTACTCAGTGGTGGGAAAAGATACCACAGCGTAGAAATATTCTGTTTCAAGTACAAGTCTCCATTCATAATGTTACATCAGTATTAGCAGCCAGATATCCTTGGAAGTAAAATACTTCATTATGCAGAATGGCACTTTTCACATTAATTTAGTGGATTATTACTGATGGATTATTGTTTTCATCACCTTCATGTTGTAGCCAGTAAAAGTGGAGCTAATCTTAACTGTGCACTTAAAGTTTGAAGTATTGCTGGGTAGCTTGTGAAGTTTCCACTAAGGTTCATTAAAGTCTGATAATGATACTAATTCATTTTATTAATCTGATTCTGAAAAGTAACTAGTAACTAAAGTTGCCTGATAAAGTGCAGTAAAAAGTTTGATATTTGCATCTAAAATGTAGTGAAATCGAAGTATAAAGTGACAGAAAATGAAAATACTCAAGTACAGGACAGTACTTTAGTAAATGTATTCAGTTACCTTCCACCATGAGTACTTTTTCCAAGACAGAAGATGATCACAAATGTTTCAGGTACTTCAGAGCGGATCCAGAGTAAGGCGGCTTCCTGTCAGAACACCTCCACCCCTACGTATTTTGCTGCAAGCCTGTGCACATGGCAGCTGCCTGACCTGCTATTAGCACTCCCAGCAGAAAATGAAAGGGGACTGTGGTTCACAAGGTGATGGCCTGGAGCTCCGATCACAAGCAGTGAGAGCAGAGCAGAGGAAGTGGTGACTCCAGCAGGGGGATGGAGGGGGTGGGGTGGACACGCCTGGCTGGTCGCGGTGGCCATGGTGTCACTCACACCGTGGCCCTCTCGCCATCCATGTCAACACTGATGACTTCAGCATGTGCCCTTGTGAGCTCACCTTGCTAGGAGACACCCAGGAAGTGGGATTAGAGCCGTGACAGCGTCGAGGGGGATAACTGTGTCATACCTGCACTGGGGGGTTCATCTATTAATGTGTGTGTGTGTGTGTGTGTGTGTCCCCACACATACTGCCGATGCCTCAGGTTTCTTTCTTTCATCTTTTTATGAAGCAGAACCGTGGCCCAGGCAGGCCGACCAGTGACAGCCAAACAGGAGCAAAGTCATTAAAACAGTTTCTGTTTCATTTGACTTGACTAGTTACATTCTGTATGACAGAACAGTGGCATGCTCTGTCAATCACAGGAAACGTTTGTGAGAGTGCACTTTGCACAATGACTGGCACTAAAACCTCGTCTGATACTCTCTGAGGTGTTCTGTGCCACAAATGGCACCTTGTTCAAAAACAAGGCGAGTCAAACTAATCCACAGTACGCTGTAGAGCAGGTTAGCAAACTGATAATAATCTACATTTATTCTAGATCAGTCTAACACTCACAACCATTTAAACATGATAACAGTCCTGGCCTTGATTGTCTGAGGCCTCAAAAGAAAACTCAGCAAATGTTCAGCTTTGGCTCTCATCATAACTGTGTCCATTATGAGGATGGGACATAAAGCTTTGTACCCAACAGCTGTAGAGAGACGGGAAACAGGTCCTGACCCCTCAAAGAAACAATCTCTTACACCTAAATGAACATACAGTGAGTTTTAGTCTGTAGGTTACTGTCTGGGCTTTGCACTGTTTGTTGCTGTCGATATTGCTTATTTTGTTATATTACACAGTCTTATGCTGGTTTACTGTTTGCACATTGAGAGCTGATGTACCCGAGTCAAATTCCTCGTGTGTCCATCACACCTGGCTAATAAAACTGATTCTGATTTTGATTCGGATACATAGTCCTGAATTAACGCCATAAGATGGCATGAGTGTGTGCATATGGGTGTTTAAGTTATTAATCATTAGCTAATAAAACAGCAAGAAATTTAGTAAAAAAGAAAAAAATTAAGCCAAAGTTTAACAATACTCTTAAAAGTAATATCCAAAAAGCATATGAATGGCATGTTATTATCATGTTAAAGCAATAATTAAAACACCTGTAACAGCCCACTGAGGTCGGTGAAGCCATGTGGTGCTGACCTGCTGCCAGTGGCTTTGTCAACCTGCGCGTAAGTGAAACTTCCAGTGTTTTTTTTTTTTTTAATTCAGATGGAAAATGAAAATAAAATCGAGTTGCTGATTCAACCCGTTGACTGGTTTATGGTAAAACAAAACAAAAACGGACAAAAGTGAACAGATTTCTGTTGGTGCGTTTCTTAGTGAGCCCCTCTCAAAACTCCCTGGGACGCATTTTGGACAAATCGAAGTAAATCACAATTTTCTTCATAAGTTTTGATTTCAGAGAAACCTGCACATCAAGCGTTTAAGATCAGCCACTAAAGACAAGGAGAAGAAGGTGCTTTGATTCTGAAACTTGAAGTTTTTAAACCTTTTATTCTCAAGATAAACAGACGTCTGCTCGTAAAACACACAATCCACGCCGCAAACGTTTAACTGCTGACCTCTGAAATGACCTGAATGTACAAAACACACGTGTGGATCATTGGTCCTTCGTCAAAATGACAAAGTTAACTCATCAAAATATTGGTTTATGGACTGTAACAGGAAAATCATAATAGTCAATGAATTATTAATGTGCGCTGATGATCTCTTAACTGAAAAATGTACAAAAATATCCCCAGAATGGATTTTGGGAAAATCAGTTCCTATTTTACTGTAGTTTGTTTTGATCGGTTTTATTTCCTGCGACGTTACTTTAAAATGATGGATAATTTAAATATCCTCCAATGTAGTAAAGCAATTCCAGTTGTTGTCTTCTCAAAGGGCAGCGTGTAGTTCTGGTTCAGCTCCTCTCTGATGAGAGGGTGGCTCTTAAAGGACTGGAGCCTATCACGTCCTGCATCTGCACCAGACCCACCTCCAAAATATGACCACTCACAAAATGTATATATCATAGGTTAGACAACTGAGCATGTGTTCGAGCAACTAGTTGCGACTCCACACGTCAAAAAAAAGACATGACAGTCTCCTACTGGGGTAATCAAACAGTTTCTAGATCATTAGTCCAATGAGTCCGTGTGAGGGATGTTTTTTATATTCTTAGTTACACACTGTGAACGACCGAGACGCGGAATTTTATAGTTTGTGGCATGTCAGTGCGCTCCGACTCATAGACGAGGACAACAGTCTGTGCTGTGCTGTTTGTTTTTATTGTACATGCTTTCAACTACAGACTTATGACATTACGCAAAGAGCCGGAGCGGGGCTGCATATGGGCGGCATAGGTGGCACTCTCTACCTCAGCATGTTGAATGGGACTGAAACGCAAACCTTTGGAAAGAACACCGACATCGGCAGTCACATCCACCGTGGCGGCAAGGATCTGGCAGAGTTTAAAATGGGGATTCAGGACGCGAGGTTTTACTACCCGGACTCGGTTCAGAGCGGGCAGGACGCTCTGGCTCTGCCGTACCACTCGGACCAGGCGGTGGGAGGGTACGGAGCTCAGCCCGGCAAGTTTTACGCACAGACCCTCAGCAGCTGCCCGTACGGCGGCGTGCGATCGCCCCCAAGAAGCGGAGCCGGGCAGGGTTACATCCCGACGGCAGGAGATGGGTTTCCCACAGGCGGAAAAGACGTGTTCTCTCCGTCTCCGGAGAATTTCCCGGCAAGCTTTCAGCACAGTTACCAGCGGCCGCCTCTCTATCCTTTACCTGGACTACAGGTGTGCGGAAAGACCCAGGCTCTGCTCAATAACTTCCCGCTATGGGCCAAGTTCCATAGGTTCCAGACCGAGATGATAATCACCAAACAGGGGAGGTGAGTCTGCCAACCAGCTCCAAATTTCGCACTTATTATTCACATGAAAATGAAAAAAACTGCAGCTTTCTGTGGTGATCTACATTAATGGCCAGACTTTAGCGGGGAAACGTCAACGAAAATACAAATTACGCACAACTCTTTTTTAAGCGCTTTGTAATTTATTTACGACCAGTCTTATTTTATTGATGAACAGCTGCCACAACATCACGGAGAATTAAACAAGACTTTATAGCCTTGTCAAACTGTCTTGGGCTGATTCCTGATCGTTTAGCTCCTATTTACTACAGGAATGTGCAGGCATCACCAACACATCACTGGTCAGGTGACGGGGCTGCTGGTAGCTTTGGGTTTGTAGGTGAGACTGATGGAAAGGACCTCGGAACCACATGCTTATCATAATAAAGTCGATTCTGTTTGGTCCGAGATAGTTAGAGCATGTTAAAGTAGGGTTTAAATTGACTAGAAAGTTGCATAATTTCCATAAAACATTTGAAATGTACCTCAGTATAATAAAAGATTGATGTGATTTATGTTAATTAATTTGAACTTAAACAGCATATATAGTTTCCCCCTCATAGATTCACCGAGTCAGAATGTGCTCTAGGCAAAAGCTGCTTCTAAGAGCCAGAGAAATGATGAAGAGGAGCCAATATCAGTTGCAGGCTGAGTTGCCGGTAAACATTTTCACGCCTCCGTTGACCTGTGAGGTCACTGGGGTCTCTTCAGTTTAACACAACAGAAAATAAACAACAAAAATGAGGTTACCAGTTAAATTGTTTCCTTTTTAGTGAGAAGGGGACATTATTAATACTTGCTGCACTTAACGGAAGCAGTACTGTGTCACACTATGCGGTAGATGAACTTTGCTAAAGGTATTGCATGCTTTGTTTTGTAAAAATTAAAAGTTAATACACTCCTCTTCTTGTTATCCTAATTAGGTCTGACAGTCAAATCGGTGACCAGCTTTTCTAGACCTAATTTCTGCTCAAAAACCTTTCCAGTGTTGATAAAGTGAGAAACAAACGTACTAGAGAAACAAACAAGCGTAATAGCTGAGTCAACACCTTCGTACTGGCCCCCTCAGTACTGAAATTGAGAATAAAATCATCTTTTTAATAATAAGAGCAGAGCAGGACACTTCTGGGAGGACAGGCCGGTGCTGCAGGGCCCTGCCATGGGTCACCTAGCATTAAGCTGCTGTCATGTCTCTGATGCTTAATTCACTATTGTGTGACACTTTCAGGCCATAGGTTTCTCATGGCTCAGCTCTGTGCACAGAAAACAAGTGCGCTGCCACATAATAGGACACTGATGGTTCCCTGTGACTTGACTGGGCTGATCAGCTGAAGCCAAGTCCTAGTAATTAAAGTGACCAGAGTAAAAAATTATCATTCATAATTTACACATTGTTTTTTTTTTTTTAACACAAGTTTTAAAACCTGGAGGACTATTAGTTTTAGAATAAGAATTTTAACATGCAGCTGCAAAATATTCCCCTTTGAGCTGCACAGTTTCTTTACTTTCTGGTTGACTGCTGTAGACACACCTGCTATCAGAGTGATTCTGAGAGCAGTTAAAATTTTTGGAAGTCAGAGAAGCTTCTTTAAAGTGGTTTCTTCAGATGATTGGGCCTATTGAATTTTTTTTTGTTGAACCTGAACCAAAAAAAAAAAAAAAAAA